CAAGCTGGGGCTGGCAGGCCCTGGGGAGTTCTTGCTGGCCAGGTGCCAGGTGCTCCCCTGTGCCCAGCACGCCCTAGTTACACATTGCCATTGTCCTCTCTGGATGCTGTCGGGTGGGTTCCGAGCCACAGCTGAGCCCTACCCCACAACAGAACGGAGCCTCTTTGCCACTGTGGGCAGTCAGTCCACCTCCTCGAGGGTTGTCTTCGTTTTCCACTGTCCCTCCTCTGTCCAGTACGGATGCTCCATCCAGTCCTGGGACTTGGTCTCACCCAACTACACGTCAACGCCCGTCCTCGCCTCTCAGGAGCATTCTGGACACGCTGCTTGTCCTCGGGGCAGCCCATGTACTGCCAGCATCCGTCACCAGTCCCATCCTTCACACACATGTATGCTGCGTCCTTCCCTGCCCCATGTCCAGCTTGCACACGCCGGCTAGGCTGTTGGAGAGGCCATGCCTGGGGTCAGGCACGCCGCAGGCCTCACAGTGACATCGCTGTGCTTTAGAAAGGGCAGCAGAGCTGCCCAGTGCAGTCAGCTGCCCCATCTCTTCGCCGCTGCTTCCAGGAGCAGATTGGGGATCCAAGCTTGCTCCACGCCGGTGGCGGCTCCGAGCTCTGCCCTGCGTGTCATGATTTTACCTGGTGCCGTACACTGGGGTGTTCTTTAGGGAGCTGCCATCCACCCTGAAGGTTCCAAGGCTCTGATTTTCATCAGCAAGTGCTTCAAGTCCACCTCGATTATAACAAGCCAGGTGGGATCATCTGCACATCACAGGTTGTTAATAGCCCCAGTTATACGGCTCTTTAATCCTCTATCACCTTTCATCCCCACTTCATCCCTCTGTTCCTATCTCTGATCTTGGAATAAGAGGCGTGGAGAGGGAGCTCAGCTTGCCTGAATCACATAGCTCTGAAGTGCTGGAGCCAGGATTCAAACCCACACCTGCTCCTTGCGTGCTCCATAGCCTACCCAGGGGCGCCCCTCACTGGACCTGACAGCTGTGGATCTGATCGGCAGCTCCTGGCTGTGAGCAGGTAGCCCCGAGTCCCGGCTGGGAAGCTGGTGATTCTTGGTGGGTTTGATCTAAGCCCACGGGAGGGCCAGCTCCTTTTGCCTGCAAGGTCCAGGCCAAGGAGCTGTGGAAATACAGACGGGTCTGCTCAGAGAAGCCAGCGGGGATGGCCATGGGCGACCATCTCCCATCTGGGTGTGCCCACTAAGTCCTTGCTGGCTGTGTGGTGCTCTGCCCGCTGCAGGCCCACCTGGCCAGAGCAGACAGGGGCCTGTGAACAGTTCCCGCTGGCCAGTCTGATTCTGTAGGGTCGCCATGTGTTCCCGGGGGACGTGCTTGTTCTGGAAGGTTCTCTCCTTGTTGGGCAGTGGGACCTCGCCGCTCTGCCTCCTCTCCTCCATCCCCAATGCGCAAGACCCCCGAGTGCCACATGCCGCCTGGCAGCTGTCCACCAGCATAACCGTGTCTCTTTTCAAATGCAGCCGCACACACTCACTCACCAAGACTGGCAGGGCCGGAGGGTGGTGCGGGACACTGCCCCACACCCCCAAACCCGGCCCTGGCCTTTCACAGAGCCACTGGGACCCCCAGCCCACTGCCAAAGTGCTGAGCTAGCCCCCAAGAACTCGGGGTCACCAGAGGTCATCTTTCTTTCAAATGAGCTCACGGAAGTTTCCCTCGTGGGGAGGGTGTGTGTGTGTGTGTGTCTCCTCCCCTCTTCTCTCCTGGCTAGTGGCCTGAGTGGCCCTTACGCTAGGGCCTAGAGCCCCTGTGCCCTGTCAGGCATCTGTGTCCCCTGCCCCATTGCTCCTGTCTCTGATCCTAAAGCTATCCACCAATCTCTGTGGCTCCCCGATACCTGGCGGAGTCTAAACGCCTTGGCCTGACCCAGGCCTTAGGCTCCCCTGGCCCATTCGCCCGCCAGTGGCTGCTGCACCTGGTCCAGAGACGATGGTGCCACAATGTAGCAATTCCTGACCCTGACCTCCCCCCCTCCCCCAGGGTCCCAGCATACACCCCACCCCTGTCCCCCAGCCGGGGCAGTGGAGGGAAATGCTGGCCTTTGTGCGTGTCTGACATTGGCAGAGCAGCTGGCTTTGGATGAGAACCAGAGGCTTCCACAGCACTTGGCGGTCAGTCCTTGGGCCCCGCCTTGGCCAGAGGTCACAGTCACTGCGGCCATCGGGCTGAGTTGGCGAGCGTCGGCCTTCCTGCTGCTTGAGGGAGTCACCTCCTGCATGGTCTTCCCTTCAGGGGAGGTTGCCCTGGTGGTGCGTGGGTTAGGCCATGGCGGGGAGTCACCTCGGCATGGTCTTCCCTTCAGGGGAGGTTGCCCTGGTGGTGCGTGGCTTGGGCCACGGCCTGCTGCTGGGGGCCAGGGTTCAAACCCACCAGCCACCACCCCTCCGGAGAAAGGTGCGGCTGTCTCGGACAGATTGTCAAATCCTCAGAAACCCAATTTAGGGCCCTGTAACTTGGAATTTATTTGATGGCTGTGGGTTTGGGGCGTGGAGGACCTCTGAGGCCGTTGTCTGTCCAGAACCCACCCCAGTCTATCCACAGGACAGTGGGCTCCTGGGGGCTGGGGCTAGGATGGGGCACAACAGACATGGGGTCATTCTGCCTGCACACGATTTAACAAACAACAATGAAATCAAGAAGGAACGAACTACAGACTAAGCTAACCCACCTACTGGCGCCCACCCTGCTGGGAAGGAAAGCCCAGTGGTTCCTCAAACCCCCCCCCCCAAAAAACCAACAAGAAGGAACCCTGGTAGCACAAGGGGTTAAGTGTCAGCCTGTTACCCAAAAGGTCGGGGGTTCAAGCCCAGCAGTCTGCCTCCATGGGAGAGCGATGAGATAGTCTCCTCTGTAAAGACGTGTAGTCTACGGAACCTTGTGGGACAGCTCTGTCCTGTCCCGCAGGGTCCCTGTGAGTTGGCGCCAACCCCACCACAGGGGGTGGGTTAACTATAAAATGCTTACATTGTATATTGGGAGGGGCCCAGGGCGCCCTGTTTACACACTGGACACCTAACGGAAGGTCGGTGGTCGGAACCCACCAGCCTCTCTGAGGGAGAGAGACAGAGACGTGGCAGTCTCTTCTGTGAAGGGTGATGGTTAGCTGCAGCGTCGTCCCCCACGCCCCTACAGCCATGGGTCTGGTTAGGGTCAGTGACCGATCATATGGGCATGGGCACTGGCATTCAGTGGATGAGGAAGCCAATTGAGGAAGAGTCATCCGTCCAGTCTGGCAGAAAACAGGGCGTGCCCACCCCACCCTCTCTTCACCCGGTACCCTCTGGTAGGGGATGCTGCCCTGGAGTGTGTGCCAGGGGTCAGGGCGGGGTGTCCAGATAGGGATGCAGACGGGCTGGAAAGGCAGGGCTCACCTTGTCAGCAGGAAGGGACCATTTTCCCTTGCCATCAGAAAAAGGGGAGAGTGAGGCTGAATGACAAACCAAGGGAACTGAGCTAGACCTGTGGAAGGTTCCAGAAAGGTGTCTGATTCACCCCTCACCCCTTGCATGTTTCCACCCAACCCCTCTACCGGGTGCACCGGGTCGATGCCCCTAACCAGCCCTAGGGTGGGCAGGGGGCTCTGGGGTACCGACCAGGGCCGCTAAGTATCAGGTCTGGAAGCCTCCCACCCCCACCCCCCACCCCAGCGCTGAAGCCGCACCCCATCCTCCCTCCCACGGCAGTGCCGCAGCTGCGAGCTGACAGCTCAGTAAAGATGCTTTGGTTCAGACGGAGCAGGAGCGCGCACACCTCCGGCCACCTCCAGCGGGCAGTGTGATTGTGCCGTTGCCGAGATGGCCCAGGGCCGTAGGTCTCCCCCTGGCGCCGCGGCAGGGGGGGCGGGTGCCCCATAAAGAACTCTTTGCTGCCTGGCGGGTGGGGTCTGCAGCGCCTCGGCGGGCCGGCCGGGAAGGGGCGGGGCGGCGCCTAGAAAAGGCGGTGCGGGCGGGCCGGTGCGGGGAGGCAGCACAGCCCGGAGCCCGCGAGCCGGGGCTGGGGCGCGGCCCGAGCC